GGAAAATATGTAATATTAAAAGACCTGTATGCATTTTTTTAATGCAGACTTTTCATTCATCTTGCTTTTTTTCTTTATTTCTCAGCATAATTATAGGATAAAATGTCCACGAAGTAACTGCTGCATCTCTTTAGATTTGTAGACACGCTCAAGTGTCTGATCAGGATAGAGCTTCTTGCCGTAGCTGTCCAAGTAAGCGTGCGTTTCAGCTTTGATCAGTTCACTACCAGACCCTGTCAGTCTGTCCTGGTGCTGTGGAGGAAGGACAAGCAGGATGCAACTTCTTTGAGTTCTTGGGTGAGCAGGTACCATCTTTCTCTCATAAATTGTGCCGTCCTATAAAGTACTCCAGCTGGCACGAGGCTTCTTATCAATGATAACAAAGTATCCTTACACTGTTTAGCTTTTTAGGATATAAAACCCATTTAGTTTTAGTTGATTTCATATTCACACAAATCTGATGATTTATGTAAATTTTAATACAAGGAATTTTTAGTCATGTCAATATTTTTAGTTCCTTAAGACAGTTATGCCACAGAAAATTAGGAACCTGATTTTTAATGCAGCGTCAGTATTGCACTAGGGCCCTTAAAATACACCCAGTAAATATGAAAGTTTTGCATGAGATTTAAGTACTTTTATGTGTTTATATCTGTATACATGTATAAAATACGTATTATTCATAAAATATGTATTTGTTTCCTGATTTTATATTATTATTGCCATTTACATTATATGAGTGTTTGCATACACATTAAGCCATGGCAGCTAATCTATAAAGTCTCCGTTATTCCATAGTCACCTGATATCCTAAATATAGTTTTGCTAAACGCATTTGCAAAGTTTTCTTTTATTATTATTTTTGTCCAGATAAATCTACAATGTTAGTGACATTTCTTGATGTAGACAAGTCATGATTTCATTAGAAAGACTTTGTATTTTATTGAAGCGTACTTCGTCTAGTATGGTGCTTAGGAAGAAAAGCATGAACGCTTTTGTGGTAAACATCGTAGAGTGACAGCAAAAATTGAAAGCATATTTAGCTAGATTTTTTTCATTTCTGAGTAAAAGTGAAACTGCATGGGTATGGTTTGGGCTGATCTAACAGCTGCCACCGATGCAGCGAGGAGCGAGCTCTCCCCCCAGCTATTCCTCCTCCCAGTCCCACGTTGGATTTTCTGGGTGCGAACCAGGCTTTTCTGGGGCCCGACACAGCTCTCCAACCTGCAAATAAAATCGGGCTCATGCTCGCTGCGTTAGTGAGCTGAAACTTTTGGGCAGAGGCTGAGTAGGCAGCGAGGCTGATGCACGCCTTGCGGGGCCGAGGGTGGAGCGGGGAGAGGGAGGGAGGGAGGCATGAGCAGGACCAAAACCCCCGTTGGCAGCAGCAGCCGGTTCGTTTGGCTCCGCGGCTCCTTGTGACTTCACTCCGAGAAAACAATACGATAGGGCGAATTCAAGTTTTTACATCTGCACCTCTTTGGGAGTCTTAATTTTGTTGTGAATTGGTTGCGTGAATGTTTTGAATTGGATTCATTTTGGCAATTTTGGAAGGCTGGAGTGAGATGAGCTTACGTGACTGGCAGTTATTTTTTTTCTTTGCTGTGTTGAAAATAAAAAAGGAATGGTCTCAACAATAAAGGGCGAAAGAAACGCTCTTCAAAAATTACTCCAAAGGTCATTTCAGGTCAGATAGGGTTTTTAAATTATTTTTATTCTTTTTTTATTTACTATTATTCGATTTTGTTCTATTTTACTTTTATCCACAGAATTGAATTTCAGAAGAGTGTTAATATGAA